CACTCGTATCCCTCCCCTTCCCCGACTTGGGTGGGAGTTTCCATAGTTCTTGGGGGAGCTCTAGCTCCCTTCATGCTTCCGAACTGGAGAATGATTAGTGGAAGTAGTTGGTTTGCACCCCCAATATCCGAAAATAATTTGGAAAATTCCGCCTTTGGCCCGAGATGCATCCTAGCCGCACGAAGACCGCCCGGCGCGCCGCCCTACATCTGGCCTGTACCACGTCCGGTTCCGTTATTATTCCGTTATTGTGCTCTGGACCTGCTGCGAAAGGCGATTTAGCATATCGGCAGCTCATTACAACTCAGCATCGTGTTCGGAGCAGGGCTGTGGGCCGCGCAGCCGCCGAGCAGGAGCAGTGGAAAGTCACAGTAATGAAAACCATTCACAGGCGAGAAATGGCTGTCGGCAACGAGACCGAAATTCATTTGTGTTTCTGTATTAAGACAATTGTTTAGGAGCTCTTTCGGTGGTTTCTACAGAGTCCGGAGAATCAAACCGACAATTTACCCTCTAAGTTGCCGCCGCTGGGCTCGTGCCCACTGAGTCGCTACCGCTGCGCTCGAGCTCACCGAGTCGCCGCCGCTGGGCTCGTGCCCACTGAGTCGCCGCCGCTGGGCTCGTTAGTCACAGACTGCTGTCCGAGCAAAGCTGCGCTCAGCCCCTGCTGCACTTACCAATTCCCCGCTCGTCATACATTCAACAGATAGGGTATCAAAACAATGCACCTGCTCTCGCTGCCTTTCAGAACAGGTTCCTCACTCCGCCCAGCTCTCGCTTTCAGTGAATAAAATATGTCACGCGGCCAGCGGGCGAGATTAACCGACAGCATTGAGGGCGCCGCCGCCCGCCAGGCGGCAACAAAGCCGGCCAATCGGCGGCCGAGGTAACGAGCGGGGCGCCGTCATCAGCCGTCATCACACGCCCACGGATCACCCGGCGAGGTGTGACCGTTCACACGTGTGAATGGGCCGAGACCGCGTCGGGTCACGCTGCATTGTCGGAGAAAACTCGGCGGCCGCCGTCGGGGACCGGCTGCTGCTGACGGCCGCGATGACGGACGCGGATGGCGGACAGGCGCCGACTGTGATCACGGGTCCGTGCCGGCATTGATGGCGGGCTGGTGATGACAGTGGACTGGCGGACTGGTCGCAGCGGCGATGGTGGATAGGTGGTGACAGTAATGATGGGCAGGTGGCGACAGTGCCAAATGCACGATGACCGTGATGGCTGCCCGAAGACAGTCATGAATGCACGACAACGGTGATGTCTGCACGACAACAGTGATGACACATGAAGAGATTGATAACACATGACGGCAGGGAAGATTCCACGCTGAAAGTGGTAAACGACTGACGGCAGTGATGATAAAACAGTGACGGCAGTGCTGGAGGACGACAGGTGACGGCAGTGATAACTGCATGACGACAGTGATGACTAACTAGCGGCAGTGGTGACGAACTAACGACAGTGAAGATCGACTGACAAGGACGGAGCCGGCATCGGGCCAAGCTCGGCGGAATGCGCGGCGTGCGCCCAATCCCAGGGACAGAGCGCCCAGGCCCGGGCGGGACTTTCTCGGAGGAGCGCACGTGCACCTCTCTCGACAGGCGCGCCCAGCTGCAGCGGAGCAGAGATCGCAGATTGACAAGTAATCCGGTGAAAATCTCACCGGGCGGGACGAGCGCGCGCCGCCGCCACGGGGGTGTCAGTGCTCGTCACAGCTCGGAACGCACGAGATGGTCTCCTGGTTTTCCCTTTCATAGTTCTCGTTCCGGTTTCGATTTTACTCGGAAATTTGTATGGAAGTGTCGTTTACGTTCGATCAAATGTGAATGAGAGGAGGATCTGTGCAGAGTGCAGAACCGGAACCCAAAGCTGTCAGAGCGATGTCTGTCGGTATCTGGAGCTTCAGTGGCTGTTAAAGGTGGCACGTAAAATCACCTTTAACGTAAGAATCTATCACAAACCTCGGGTATAGGTAAGAAGAATGTTCGGACGGTCGCAACTGTCTCCCGTATGTGGGATGTTCATGGGCAAACACCGAGATACATCCACCATATCAGAAAAAGCCTAAGAATATCTTCGATCCATTAAATATATTGATCCCGAGCTACTCGACTTGGGTCTGATGTGGCCAATGAGACGCAATGTGGAGCATAACACAGTAATTACAACTTGAACCTTTTCAGGCTGAGGAAGGCTCGGCCCGTTTTGGCTTCATTATAAAATAGAAACGAGAAAAACCCGAGTCACGGAGCTGGTTGTGGAGCTAGTAGAAGAATGCATTTCAAATCGTTGCCAAATCTTGCGTAGTACAAGAGATGGCGCTGACTGAGATACCTCACAACGTTAACTGGTCTACATGAAATACATCAACAGTAACAGCAAATCTTTTAAAAGTAACACAAACGGCAAACCGACTCCGCGCTTCCCTGCTTCGGCATCCATTTCCGCCGAAGCACAGGGACTCCAAGCCATAGCAAACAGACTTCTGTTGTCCTCGGACGTCGGCCGTAGGCGACTGAAGACATTTAGCGCCAGACCCGGGGAACGGCTCCACTGTTCGTCAATGAACGTCATTTCGAGTACGAGAAAGCAGTTTCTGCGCCTGGAAGTTAAGTTACAGTGATCACTGAATCCCCGTGATATCATTGTCGGCGAAGGAATTCGGCAACGAGATGCGTGATTGAAGGCGGCTGGACGGAACACTGAACAGTGATATGGTTCCGAAAACTAAGTTCATGCGCGGCTATGAATGCCAGCCAACCACACCGCATAAATCTTTCCAGTTAGTTCTTTTTTAAAAAGTTTGAACGTTTTCTGGAACATACGTTTCTCTCGAATGCGTCAGAGTTGAAAAGGTTTGCGAAGAGAGAGAAAGAAAGAAAGAGAAAGAGAGATAGGGGGGAGGGATTGGGGATGAACTGGTGAGATATACGCTTGTCCTTGCATATCAGAAAGTCTACATATATATATATATATATATATATATATATATATATATATATATATAGATAGATAGATAGATAGATAGGTTAGGTATATATATCTAGATAGGTTAGGTATATATAGATAGGTGAGGTTAGCTTAGGTATATATATATATATACATATATATATATATATATATATATATATATATATATATATATATGTATATATATATACACATATATATGTAAACGTACCATTTTTTACAAATGTAAATTTCCTAATACTACATATATCATTAACCGGTTTGAGACCAGAAAGATTAAAACCGATATATCTGAAGAACATCCAGCTCCTGACTTCGTTTTGTATCTGCTGTTTTCACCAAGGTTCCAGTTTTTCAGAAGCGATGTCAGCAAACAATCTGCTGTACACGAGTGAAACAGGACCCCCACATTCAGATGACTGAAATCTATTGGAGCATCAGAAGTGACACTTGCTAGAGAAAACCAATGCAATGGCTGGCTGAACATACTAATGGCTCGGCAGCCAAAGATAAAATTCACTCGATGCCGGCGAAAAGTTACTACCACATGGGAAACTAACCACTTGAAATATCGTGACGGTGATAGGTGAGGGTAATTGAAATATCCTTGGGCGACATTCGAGTAAAAAAGAAAGCACATTTACACCGAACGGTTTTTGACCTATATCAAAATATTTTATAACAGTGCAAAATTTTAAGGGTCCTAGACGTTATGCTCTAATGCTTCCTTTCCGATAGGTATCAGGTGTAATATTAGGTGTGCCATTTATGTGGACTATGCAGACCACAGATGGGCAGTCAGTTCACAGTCAGGAGATCACTGCCATCCAATTTCGAACAATGGTTTTAATAATTTTGAGTTTGGAGAGTATATTTGTGAATAAAGGCATGTATGTGTTCGAGGTCCCTGATGCCCTGTGCCCATGCCATTAGCATAGCTAGCTTCCTAACATTTTTATTTTCAATTTGATTGACTGCGTGACATGGCGGCCACGGTGCCGAAATGTCAAACGGCGAATCACCGAGGCATGCTGCAGGAATGTCACGTCTGAAACGCTGTAAGATGGTGTGGCCTACTGCCGGCCCCTCTGTCCATGACCCACATCATGAATGACTTGTGAGCCGACCTGCTGCTGAGTCAGGCTTATCATGGGTAGTCTATACCTCACCTACCTAATGTAAATAGCATTGCGTCTTCGTGCGAGCTGACAAATACGGGCTGACACCACAGCTTCGACGTCCAATTCATGTGAGCTAAATTCTCAGATATGTGCACACAGCACGCCTCCAGCCTTCATGCAGCTGAAACTCGGCTCCTCGCGAACAGGCTATCACACCGACCAAGTCACTGGATGTGGTCGTTGTTCCGTGAAATTTGGCATTGACATGCTGCTTTCAACCATGGATGGCTTAGTATCACTATGCGCGGTGTAACGACCCCGTGGCATTGATGAAACGTTTGTTGGACACAACTCAGCCATTTCCTTAATAACCTCTGGGGAGTTCGGATATCCTGTTAACGGTTTGAAAGCTTTCCACGTGACGACCTGGTAAACCTTCCAACTAATCACCTTAGCTGTGTTGGAGAGACGCAGCCGGGGTTTTCTTAAAGGGGGAGGAGGCCGAGCTCAGTGAGAAATAATCACACTAGTTATTTACTTGCTGTCAGTAGCCACCTTCGTGCTAAAAACGCAGGGCCAATGATTTGAGGCAGGCCCCCGAGCCCCTTCTGCTGCACCTATGTTGCGCTGCCTTGATTTATTTTATAGCAGGGGCTTGCAGTTGAAATCAAGCACCACCTCGTTGCCTAAACACGAACCACCACCACAACGTGCATGACAAGTTTGCACAAACTACAGCTTTCTCATCGACTGACTGGGGCAATCCATAGGGGAAATGCAGCGTCCATGTGGCAAGACCACGTATTTACCGGCTGTGACGTGACTCATCCAGCACGCCTCCCGGAAGCCGAAAACGTCCATCAATACAAAGAGACGTGCCAACTGCATGTAAAAACTTACCAGCCACTGCAGCGGGTTCTTCTTCCTGACCGGCTTCTTCTTTCCGAGTATTTTGGTGCTGATCCGCCGCACCACTGGCCGACGGTATTTGGGCCGCTTCGTCGAGACGCGCCGCAAGCGTCGCCGCTTCCGTTTCGAGTCATCGCGCGAGTTCTTTCCGCCGCTGGCCTGGTCCGACGACGAGGTCGCCACCAGCGACGACTGCACCGAGCTGTCGCGCCCCATTGCGCCGCGCTGCCGCACAGCCAAGCCGAGCCGGGTCAGGTCGGTCGGTCAGACCGGCCGCGCCGCCCAGCCCCGTCACGAGCACCGGCCGCCGCCACCAATGCCGCCCACAGAATCGTGTCCGCCGGCTGCGGCGCGGTCGGCGCCGATCCGGTCCACTGCGGGGGTCGACTGCGCCCGGCGGGGCGCCGCTGCCACCCCGCTCCGCCGACCTCACAATGCTGGCTGCCGCTTGCCCAACGGCCGGCCGCGATCGCACCGCGGCTCCTCAGACGCGTCGAGTGGGCGGTTCGCTCCCGTCGAGTGGGCGTCCGCGCCCGTCGAGTGGCGTCCCGTCGCCGCTCCGAGCCGCTGGCTGGCCGCCGGTCTCGGCCGCGTCTGCTGGCCGCCGTCACTGTGCCGCCGCCGCCGCCGCCCCCTCTCGCCAGCGCACTGACGGCGCCCGGCCGGCCGCTCCGTCGGCGAGTGCCGCTGGCACGCGTCCGGACCACCCCAAGGCTGCGACCGCCCGCGCCGCAGCACGCCCTTCGACCGCTCGGCTGCCGGCGGCGCGACCCCGCCGGTGGGTCAGCAGGGCTTGGCTACGCTCCGATGACGGGCCAGCTCCGAGGCGTCGCTGATATGCGGTCGCACGGGCGGCGGATGCGGCGGACCGCGGCGGACCGCGGCGGACCGCGCTGACCCGGCTCGCTGCGAGCGGCCCGCCGAGAGAGCTGTCCAGAGCTCCAAACGCTGCAGAGCTGCAGCAACGACGCCGGGAAAGTGGGCGCGCCCAGACCGTTCGGCCCGGACGCCGCCCGCGACAATGGTGGATGGGCGCCAGCGGTAGGCGCAGGGCCTCTCATGAGATCGAATACCGGTGGACCGTAGCTCTTCTCCTTGGCTCGTCTTGTTGTGCCAACGGAGCGAGGTCGTTCGCATGTGACACCGTTTAAATGTGCGCCAGTAACACGACACTGTACAGCCTTTTACAGAAGAGAAGATGACAAACAAACGTACACCACCACCGCATGCACCAGCGCCTCAAACGTCATTGATATGAGCGTACAGTGAAGCCCTCGAGTTTCACTCATGGTGATCGGCCAAAGGATGCAGTGAACGCAGGCCTCTGGTGATGTCTCATGGTTGGATCGCTGACATCAAAGACCATCGCGTGGGCCCATTTGGTCCGAAGTGTAAAGCCTTTACGCTGTTTTACAGTCAAGCTGGAGACCGACCACGCACGGCAATTGCCTGTTCATGACAGAGTATCTTACGAGGACCGGACAGACATCCCTACACGGGAACAAGATCATTGTTACCCGATGGACTGTGACGGTGACACAAAACATGAATGAAAGTAGCGCTCATCACGGACAGCATCAATGCCATTGTCATAAGATGAAAGAATGATGTCCGCACTCAGCACACGCACACAAATCAGAACACCTTTCGTCATGATCAGCAGTACAATGTTCACTTTTTGCTACCTGGTGCTGACAATGACTTTGATCAGCTGACCGGAGCAGGTTCACATGTGTTGATTTAGGTGAAACGAAGCGATGCTTTCCACGGTCTGGCGACGAAGAGATCAGCTTTCATTTACAACTGCTGTAGAGAACATTTTGCACTGCCTTTGAAAGCAACATGACCAGTGAAACAGCTGCTTATCAGTCCCACGTCTATAAAACAAAACGCGGTAGCAATTAGCGGCTGCGAAAAAAAAATGGTCCCTTGGTCACAAAACGAGCATCTGCAGTTTAATACCGTAAAATGACATTACAATTATAGTATTAGTATAATATTAACTTAGCACCATGCACTGCAATTAGCATAACTAACTCATTGAAATGTGGTGCACACAAATCTCCAGTGGCAGCGGTGGTAAAATGGCCTGATAAGCATTCTGGTCGAAAACAACACGGAATGTTAAATGAGGACACGCGTTTTGTACCAGGCGTGGGCCAGCTCACCACAGGGGCAAACTCACACTTGCTCTGTTCGTGTAGTTAATGTGATGCGTACGCAATGCTTCCATTGTTCTAGTACAGGACTTCTTTAAAGCCTAAATGCAGAGGATGATTTGTGCAAAGCAGCTGCGTTAAATTACATTTATACTTTTGTTTCGATCAATGCTTGCCCGCCGGACTGTCCGGTAAGATAGACCAGGTACTTATCTGCAAACGTTTACACGGGTGAACGGCTCCTAACAAGGAGAGCAGAATAATTGTGCAGACAGAGGCATCCTTTGCTAGCTTCCTTAGCACCGGTGCTGATGTGTGCAAGAGCCCACGATCGTGCCGCGTCACGCTGCGTCGAAATTCCGGGTCGTCGCGCATTAGTGCCCAAAATTTTGATTACAAAGCCGGAAATAATAACCAACAGCCAGCCTTTCATGGTACAGCGGGTGTGATAATACCAGGCTGGCTTACGGCTGCAGGCGCTCGGAACAGCAGACTATTACCAGACTCCCAAAGGCAACGGAAAGGGGGATAATCAGCCCCCCCCCCCCAGCCACTTGAGCTCCTGCTGTTGCGGTACGGTTTGACCGACGGCTGACCACGAACAAACTTCTTAGCCATTAGGAGGTATTGAGCCCCCCCCCCCCAGCCACTTGAGCCCCTGCTGTTGCGGTACGGTTTGACCGACGGCTGACCATGAACAAACATCTTAGCCATTAGGAGGTATTGAGCCCTTAGGAGTGTTTAAGATACACTCATTCCCCCTCCGTAGAGATATTCAAATAATCGAGACATTGACCGTCACTAAAAACATAAAACCCCGTGCTTTCCAAAAGCTGGTATTCCCCTAGTGCGAATTGCATGCAGTTCTATCCCTGGATTTTACCCTCGAGCCGAGCAATTCAATGTGTTTCCATAAAAAAGCTCAAATAGCAGCCCTCATCAAGTTGACATAGGAATCCCAGGTTGTAACGTGTTCAGCTATCGCATATTGATCAGCACATATTATCCCCTGTACCAGTTTCTGAGCATTAGCAAAATCCACAGACAGCATACCGAGCTCACGACTCACCGAGAAAATCCGCCCGGCGATGCATTAGCAAATACTGGCCACGCATCTGGCTTGCGCCACGTCGAATGTCCCAGTTCACCGCCAACGGCCGATTTCTGCTCGGCTGAGCCGAAGATTTCGTTGCATTCCCACGAGCAATAACCGTAGGCACGCGATCAGCCGGGCGATATACGCCTGCGCCCTCGGCCTTGGCCCACAGCATTCTACCTTGTTCAATACTTTTCACCGACACTCCGCCCCCGGCCGCGAGCGCCGGTCGGGCCCGGTGCCGGAACACAGCGTGCGTGAATAATTCATGGCGCGCCTGCCCCCATCTCTCGCGGTAGCGCCCATTGAGCTCGGCGATCACCCGCCAGAAATCGGCTCGGCCGGCTCGGTAAACACCATGCGAGCGCGTGTCGAGCCGCGCCCCGCCGGTGACCCGCACTTAACGCCCCCCCCCCCCCCCCCCCGGGTGCAGCGGCGACCTCGGCCGGTCGGCTCGGAGGCGCCGCGTCGCACCCGTCCGCGGCCGCTCGACACACACCAGCAGCGGCCAGCCGCGCGCCCGTGCCAGCGCGGTGTTCGAGATCAGCGGGCAGTGCTCGCGGAGTGATGTGGCGTGCTCTGACGCTGGTGATCCGATGCTAGCGCGCCGGATGGCATTAATTTCGGTGGGAGGAGTGTCACTATGTTGGGCCGGGGAAGAGTGGACAGGAAGCAGTTGTGCCGTTCCGTGTCTGGTGCTATTGGATGAGTCATCCACAGTCATGCGCATGTGTGGGATTGTAGGAACTGTGGCAGGGTAAATGAGACCACTCAGGATAAAAGTGGCAACGCGCAGCGAGCCGTGCGATTCGGCCCGACCAAAGCACAGCAGCAGCTCAGAAGTGCACCGCCGCCTGCTCAGGCCCAAAGGTCAGGCGTTCGCTCTATCAACGGAACGGCGGCACGACGGCTGCCGGGTGAGCGCCGGCAGCGGCTGCCAGGCGCGGGAGCATGGCAATGTGTCATGCCCACAGACCACAGAGCATGGCCGTGATAACGATCTGTCAATGCCTGTTGGTGCCACGCTCGTCAATTCCCACACCAAACAATAAGGCAAAGCACGCTATTCGAGCGAATGTCTGTCTTACGTAAGCTGTTAGGTGCATTTGGAAGGAACGCTATGCATATAAATAAGGCGGTGCTAAAGGCCTTATTCCTCGTAGAATATCCAAGAGAATAGAGAGATGGATATATCGATATTTCGGCTACATGCCTTTATCAAAGCGAATATCAATGGTGGGGTGGGACGGCTGCTATTCGCTTTGATGGAGGTGTGTAGCCGAAATATAAATACATCCATCTCTCCATTCCCCTGAACTCTCTACGAGGAATAAGGATATTAGGACTGTTGCATTAAAATGCGCGTCTTATTCGGGAAACGGGGACAGCGAATTAGTCCAGAGCTGTAACGACAAGGTGATTTTAAACAACGTCGAACCAAATTATGACAGGCATGTCATTCTGGCAGTGGCCACCAATGTCAATAAGTTGTTCACAAGTAAAACAATGGCAAAGCAAGAAGGTACTCGTTTGCCGAACGATTACGTCCATGAGTTAGCATGCCTGTAGAGCATGCGCTACCATTATTTTATGTGTAACCACACCCACTCCGTCCGAGTACACCCGAATAAATCGAACACCGGAAATCGTAAATTCTCTCGGAAGCAAAGGCCTGTAACTTGCTTTGCCTTTCGAGGACCCTTTAGCTGGATTTTCGGTGCCTCTTTGCTATAAATCACAGCAGCGCATATTCAGTCAGCATGGGCATACAAAAACGTGAACCAGTAGCCACTGGCTTCCATTTTTGCCCCTGGGCCTGATGCAAATGCAACGCTTGCCGTTTTGTTGCTAGTTGCGTGACTGATTGTTGTTGTTATTGGAGTTTAGGGGCGCGCCGACTGCGGTGGTCATTTGGCGCCCAAGTGCATGACTGATGCACTTCGACTTATCCCATAGTACTATAATCAAAGCACGACGAAACTCA